AAATTCGCAGGCAAATGGATGGAATTAGAAGAAACCATCCTGAGTGGGGTAACCCAGTCACAAAAAGACAAACATGGTATGTACTAACTCATATATGAATTTTAGACATAGAGCAAAGGATTACCAGCCTACAATCCTCTTCACCGAAGAAATTAGGAAACATGAAATACTCTAGGGGATAAATGCATGAAACCCAGGAATGGGAAGCGGCAGGAACTCCTGAGCTAATTGGGAGCATGAGGGTAGGGTAGGGGGAGCTGCCAGAATGAGAGCAGAAGAGGGAGGAGGGGAGGAAATGGAGGAGCAGAAATATTGAGTTGGGGGAAGAATAGAGGAGAGCAGAATGAGAGATACAATATTAGAGGGAGCCATTATAAGTCCCAGGAGAGATCTGGCACTAGGGAAACTTCCAGAGATCTACAAGGATGACACAAACTGACAATCCAGGCAATGGTGGAGAGGATAACCTAAATGCCCTTCCCCTAAAATGAGATTGATGACTTCTCTTTATGATATCCTAGAGCCCTCATCCAGTGGCTGAAGGAGTAGAGGCAGACATCCACAGATACACACTGAACTGAACTCTGGAACTTAGTTGCATAGAGGGAGGAATGAAGATCGAAGGGGTCAGTACCAGGTTGGAGAAACCCACAGAAACAGTTGGCCTGAACAAGGGGGAACACATCGACCCAGATGCTGTCTGGGAGGCCAGTACAGGACTGATCCAGACCCCTGAACATGGATGTCAATGAGGAGGCCACTGCACTCTAGGAGGCCACTGGTAGTGGGTTAGTATTTTTCCCTGGTGCAAGAAGGGACTTTGAGAGCCCACCCCACGTGAAGGGATGCACTCTGGCCCTGGACACATGGGGAAGGGCCCAGGCCCAGCCCAGGATGATGTGGTGGACTTTGTGGAGCCCTGGTTGAGGACCCTACCCTGCCTGGGGAGTGGGTGGTTGGATGGGGTGGGGGATAGGTTGGGGTGTGGTAGGAGGGGTGAGGGTGAGGGGAGGGAGAGGGAGAAGGGATTGACATGTGAATCAAGCTTGTTCCTAATTTGAAGAGAGAGAGAGAGAGAGAGAGAGAGAGAGAGAGAGAGAGAGAGAGAAGGCTACCACTGAATCAATGCCAGCACAGATACTACAACCTGATAGATGCCATGCTGCAGAGTGTAAGGGATTCTGGTTTTAAACCTAGCTGTGTCATCTGCTTGTGATATGACTGGCAAATATTCAACCTTTACCATACTTTCCATTATTGGGAAGGGGATCATCTCCACCAAGCAGATGTGTTGGATTATATGTGATGATAAATGCAAATGCTTACTGTTCATAGATAGCAATAAATATATACCTGTAATATGTATCAACATATTTATCATAGATCCAGGACAATTCTCCAATGAATTATTTTAGGTGTAAGTAAAACTGTAATTGTTACTTCTCTAGTATTTTTTTACCCTCTATAATAGTTTATATAACAGTAGAGATGCTAGTCTCTATTTTCACAGATCCAAGTGCTAACAGTTTTCCTTACACATCATACTACATTCTTCTGGCACTTTTTTCCTTTCAAGAAAGGACTTGGTTACCATCAAGTAAAAATACTGAATGAAAATTTCCATTATGCCTTTTCAAAGGTTTCAATAAACACTAACAGAATGAATCATGGTTACTAGGATGCTACATGGAGTTACTAAGAAGACTAGCAATTTTCTTGTTGATCAGGATTAGATTAGAAATGGGAAACATATCTAGTGTGGCATAAAAGAACATTTGCAAGTCAAAAGGCTTGGTACCTTAGGATAAGGTACAGCAGGAAAAAAAAAAAAAAAAACAAACAGATTGGAAACACATTGAACAGCCATAATTGAAAGTCTCTGACTTGTTATCAATAAGGTAACAGTGACTGGATGAGATAACAGGGGTCACAGTGTGCATAGTGAAGTGCCTGTAGCAATGTGGAGTTGGGGGGATTTTTGCTTTTAACAGTACTGGAGTTTGAAACTAGGTTCTCATGCACACAGGTGAGTGCTCTACAACTGAGCATACCCACAGTCTTCTGCAAAGTTTTAGGGTAAATTCTTGGGCTTAAAGGTGGTAGTACTGTAGCCTGGCAGTGGTGTTGCTTGCCTTTAATCCCAGTACTCAGGAGGCAAAGACAGGCAGATCTCTGTGAGTTCAAGGCCAGCCTGGCCTACCGAGTGAGTTCCAGGGCAGCCAGGACTATTACACAGAGAAACCCCGTCTTGAAAAAACAAAACAAAACAAAAAAAAGGTGATAGTACTGTAAAAAATTACTTTCAAGATCCCTTATGTATGTACATAGTTACTTTTCTTCTTCTTCATATACATGATAATATTAATATTACCACAAATGCTATACAAATGATAGTATTGGTATTACCGCAAATGCTTATGTTGTTATGATCGGTAAAAGAAACTAGTCAGTACCCTTTTGCCTGTAAAGCCATACATATATGCACATGGTTAGGGAAACTAAACACATTTTTATTTATGTTTAGTTTTGTGTGGGTGTTTTGCCTGCATGTGTGTCCATGTATATATATGCAGTACCCATGGGAACCAGAAGAGGGCATCAGATCTTCTAAAAGTGGAGTTACAGATGGTTGGTAACTGCCACATAGGTACTTGGAACCAAACTTTGGTCCTCTGGAGGAGCAGCCAATGCTGCCCTTAACTCTGAAACCATCTCCTTAACTCCCAAACAAATTTATTTTTGATAAAGTTTACTACAAATTTATTATTTTTCTTCCCCAAATACTATTTTCTTTGTTATTTTTGTTTTGAGACAGGGCTCATACTATAGCTTAGGCTGACTCAGAATTCAGGGTACAACCAGGTTGGTTTTGCATTCAGAGTCATCCTTCTGCTTCAATATCTTGAGTGCTGGAATTACAGATGTGAGTCACAGCACCTAGCTAAAATTTGTTGCTTTGCTTGTTTGCTTTTAATTTTTTGAGGATTTTTCTGCATGAATACTGCTTATATTATTTAAATCGGTTATGTTTTTTAAAAAGGATTTATTTTTAAATTATGTGTGTTTCCTTGGATTATTGTGTGCACATGAAGGCAAGTGCCCATAGAGGCTGGAAAAAGGAGTTGGATCTCCTGGAATTGGAGTTAATGTGGTTGTGAGCTGCCCTATCTGGATTATGGGAACTGAACTTGGGTCCTTAGAGGAGGAGCAAATGCTCATAATTGCTGAGCCATCTCTCCAGACCCTGAATTTGCTAGTTTTTGAAAAAAAAAGTTCAAATGTGCTATGGCCAAAGAACAGATTTATATAATATTTAAATAATATTCATGATGATTGGTTTGAGAGCTGCTCTAATAAGACAGTACTGCTAGGAAATCATATCTGTAGAATAAATGAATGGCTGGATTGCTGCTAATTTCCTCTCTGTTAAGGTACCTGGATTTCTCACACCAGAGGAGAATTAGGAGAATACTGACTGTCCCAATTTGCATATTTGTACACAAAGGGAAGAAGTAGTAATCACATCTCCTTTCTTTCTCAGGCAGACATAAAAGATGCATGAACAAATAAAATGAACTAGCTGTGTTGGCTTCAATTTTAGATTTAGATAATTTCTTTTCTGTTTTCCATTCATTTTTCCTGTTTCCTAAAACACAGAAATGATAATGTCTTTGTAAATGAAGTTAAGATTGACCAATACATGAAATGTTAAAATTCCACTAGCATTTTCACATTAGAAATTATTAACAATTTATGAGGCAGGAGTGACATACTCTCACTCTATAGTTTATCCTGGTCTTGGAGAATACTCAGATATTCACAGAGAGAGCTAAGTGGAGAGGTTATTGTTAGATGCAAAGAGGAGTCCTCAGTTCAGCTAATAGGCCATTCTGCATGACCCTGTTCTTGAAACCTAAGTTTATGGACAGTTATGCTACACTCTCAATGAGCCAGGAATTCAGCAGGGTGCTAAGGACATAGTGGTGAATGAAAATAGATGTTATCTTATCTTAAGACCTTCTAAAAGTTAAAAAAAAAGCCAGTTAATTACTGGTAAGTGCAACAAGAGAAAAAAAAACTCAGTATTAAGAACATTATAACAAGAGAGGGTTCACATAGTCTTAAGTTAGAGAACTCTTATCTGAGGAAGTGATATTTGAAATGGGAAGATTTCATATAAATGCAAAAGTATATGCAGACTTTGTTGACTGGAGGAAGGATGATGTACCAACAGAATTAAAGAAGGACACCAAGTTTAGAGAAGAAGAAAGAGGGAAAGCTGTGTGCGAAGAGGCTGAACCTACTATCCTATCATGGTAGGCTCTAAGGCAAACTCCTACATTCTCGGCTCCTTGACAAAGATTTCTGTGATTATGTCAGCTTGTTAGCACCATTCCTAAACTTTGAGGGTGAGTGCATATACACTATATGCACTAATATATATATTAGGGGTATATTCACATTGCCTCCAACTCATTTGGAAAATGGTTAAAGCCTTCTAACTGGTTATTCAGATGTAAACCCGTCTGGTATACCAGTATACAGGGAGCTCACACCAGAAAAACAGAGTAAGCATACAGATCTATGCAGCGTTTCAGGATTACAACAACTCGAAGCTATGCAGCCTTAGAATTTAAGATCTCCATCTGATTAGTAAACTTTGAAGAAAAAAGAAAAGAATAAAAACCCCTCCTAAATGCTAAAATATTGTCAAGGTCTATAACTACATAAAACTATGTTGTTAAAAATGAGTCATTACAATTATGCATTCAAATACATGACAACATCATTTTACAAAATACATAATTTATTATATTAGAGTTCATAGTAGAGAATCTTAAGAACTATAAAAATGACTTAGAAATAACAATGAGATATTAAATCTCCAAATTTTAGAACCTGAAATATCAAATCCTAGGGTTTTTATTAAACCTCTTTTGAAAATATATTCTTTCAAGGGAAAAAAAGGGGAATTAAAATTAGACACATTGATGAAGGCAGTGTGTTCTTCTCAGCTGGCTTTATTCTCCACTGAATCTCAAGTATAAGATTATATATATATTTTTTTACTTACAGGAAGCTGTCACTGTTCTGTTTTCCAATAACCCTCAAAACAGAATGGAAAATGCTTATGGAAAATGACACAAGCTTTCACCATTCTCTGCAGGCTTCTCCATGTCAATGCACTTTGGTACAACAGCTTTCCCAACTCTACAGTTCTGTCAGTGAACTATGATTATGTTTAAATATTTTCCAGATTCATCATGGAGGCTGCTTTTCTTCTCTGCACTGTAATCACACTGAGCTGCAAACAAAACAAACAATCAGTAAGTAGTTTCTCTGTGGAGAGTGTTAAGACTAAAACAAAGCAGTGTGCTATATCACAACCAATGAGGTAGTCTGAATGGAAGGGCCTTGAAAGAGGGTGTGTGTGTGTGTGTGTGTGTGTGTGTGTGTGTGTGTATGTGTGCATTTTACTCTTGAAGTGTCTGAATCACAGTACAGAAATACATGCCAAATATAACAGTTCATAGTTCCTATATTTCTTTCTTTCTTCTTTTTTTCTGAGACAGGGCTTCTCTGTGTAACAGCCCTAGAGACCAGGCTGGCATTGAACTCACAGAGATCCACCTGCCTCTGCCTTCCAAGTGCTGGGATTAAAGGTGTGCCCCAACAACGCTCTACTTGTTTTTTTGAAACAGAGCTTACTATGAAGTTCAGACTAGTCTTGTATCTTGTGATCCTCCAGCATCAGCTTTCTGAGTCCCAAAGCTACAGGCAAATGCTACCACCTCCAGCTACTTGCAGTTTTGAAGTATATCTCTTCATATATTTTCTAAATGAGTACCCCCACCTTGGTAGTTAAAAAGTCTGAATTTCCTTTACTGCTTAGATGATCTGCCTCAGAAATAACTGCATAATAAATTTCCTTTATTTTTCTTAATATCTGTAAACGTTTCCCTATCTGAACACAACTTCATTGTTGAGTATTTGTATGACTTTTAATCTTTTAAAATTAGAGGGAAAGTCAGGTGTGGTGGCACATGCCTTTAATCCCAACATTTAGAATTGAGAGGCTGGCTAGGAGGAGCTCTGTGAGTTTGAGGTCAGCCTGGTCAACATAGTGAGTTCCAAAGCAGCCAGAGCTACACAGAGAGACCCTGTCTCAAAACTAAAACAAAACCCAACAATAATAACAACAAAACATAGCTACTAAATGACAACATGCCATGCCATCAGTAGTTAAGAATACTCTGATGATAACAGTACATATATACCCAATGTTAGTTAATAGTATGTTTGACTTGATTTGCTTTGTTATCCATCCATCCATCCATCCATCCATCCATCCATCCATCCATCCATCCATCCATCCATCCATCCATCCATCCATCCATCCATCCATCCATCCATCCATCCATCCATCCATCCATCCATCCATCCATCCATCCATCCATCCATCCATCCATCCATCCATCCATCCATCCATCCATCCATCCATCCATCCATCCATCCATCCATCCATCCATCCATCCCAATTGCCTAAATGCTCAATGAACTGATCTCTATCCATTCCTAAAAGGAGTTATTGCTCCTAATTTAGAAGAAATGGCTCATTTCATTTATATAATGTGTATACTTTGAGACATTACTCTTTACTTACACTAGAATTTCACTGATATATCACATTTTCCAAATTACTTCCCAATGGCTAAGTTTTTATATTGTATTTTGGATTTATTTGGTTATATACAAATGTACATTAAATAAAGGTAACTTGTATCTGAAATATTTTGCTTCTACCTAAAACCTAAAGTAACAATAAGGTACTTTCAAATATAAACACAAGTACTTAACTTTGGACAGAACATTATGTCCAGTGCAATGCTACTAGCACAAACTTGTGCAGTCAGCGATGTTCTGTATCTGCTCTGTCCAACCTTCCTACTAGCCACAGTTACCAAACACTTGCAATCTGGCTAGTAGGACCTCAAGTTTTCATTTCATTTAATTTCAGTAAAAAAGTTCTCTGGCTACCAAATACTTTACTAGAGATGGTAGTTCTAGATATGGGTGTAGACAGAGGATACTGATGTTTATTTTACATATAAACTTTATATACTCTAATACTTCAACTGCAGTATTAAAGACGCTAATTTTATGCAGGTTAATTGAGTAAAGATCAAACTGTCAGTTCTCTGGGACCTTGTGAGGAACCCTGCTGATTTACTTTTCATATATGAAGGCTGTTTATCAGCTCTGGATAACGAGGGTGTTCCCTACCTGCTGGGATGCTGAAGCAGCTCTCTCTTCTGCCTGACTTAGACGTCTTTGAAGTCTGTTTGCCTTTTCTTGATGTTCCAGAATTAACTTTTCATTCTTTTAAGGGGAAATATAAAACAAATTCAAATCCAAATGTGATATGTAAATGTCTTATGGAATAGCCAGTGAAAAACTTGGACATGATTTTACCACTTGTAAAATAAAGATACCATCATCTCTGTATTTACATTTTCCAAGTTAAGAGCATCATATTACACAGGTGATTTTACTTCTTCCTAAGTCAGTGGTTTTCAACCTGTGGGTCAAGACTCCTTGGAGGGTTGGACGATTCTTTCACAGGGGTCACATACCAGATATCCTGCATACCAGATATTACATTATGATTCATAACAGCAGCAAAATTACAGTTATGAAGTAGCAAAGAAATAATTTTATGGTTGGGGATCACCACAAGATGAGGAACTGTATTAAAGGGCTGCATTAGGAAGGTTGAAAACCATTGTCCTAAGTTATTTCTTCCCCTCATATCATCCAAGACTCCATTTGACAAATTCAAAAGCAAACTGAATCACAAAAAACCCCAAGACTTCCTGAGTTTTTGGTCTGTTGACTTTTTGGTGCTTGATCATTGCTTTAGAACCACAGAAGCCAAGCACTGGGCCTTATAACCACAGACTCAGCAAAGGGTTGGAATGAACTCTGTTTTTGCTCCTCAGGACATCTGCATCCTGTGGAAGCTATTAGGGTCACTAGATATTGCTAGGTATTGAATTCTATTCCCCCAAAGATGCTATAGTTCTAATCCCTGGTAGCTGTGAATGTGCCCTTACTTTACAAATAATCTTTGCAGATGATTAAGTTTAGGGGATTATATTGAGTCATTCTGCATGGCTGGTGTCTTCATGAAAATGGCATATTTGGACACAAAAACAGATACATACAGGGAAATGCTGTGAAGATAAATCATGACCCATAAGCCAAGGAATGCTCAGAGCTGCAAGAGCTAGGAGGAAGGTGGTAAGAGTCTCCCAAGAAGCCAACACTATAGACACTTTCTTACTTCTGGAACCATGAGGACATAGTTTTATGTTATTTATACAGCCTAGTTTGTAGTACCATAATATAACAGGAACCATAATATGAATACCAAGTGATCAGTACATACTTTATTTCAGCAAGTTAAAAACAATTTGTCAACTGAAAATATGTTCTTTTCCCACACTTACCTGCTTGTCACAATGCAAAAAAAAGAGACACTTTTGTAAAACAAAGTTATTTTTTGTTTTCTGGTATTTAACTGGATCCAGAGAATACAAGGCAAAACAGGAATGGCTAAAACCCCCCTTTTCAATGAAGAACTAGATAGTTGTTTATGTCCTAGCATCAAAGGGGTTAAAGTGAATGCCATTCTGAGTAACATATAGCACTGAAATAAACAGCAAAGGGTTAAAATGAGCTTATTATAATTGATTGTGTCCAAAAGCAAAATTAAATCTTTGAAAAGATCTATATCAGCTGTACTAACCAACCAAGTTGTTTGAGTATTAAATTTAAGTTTTAAATTTTAAAAGGTACCTCATCTACTAGTGATCTCATTATCTACCAATAATCATTTTGATAGCTACAATCAGACTATATATAATATATATCTATCCATATGGTTACCATAATGGTTAAGACAAAGTACAGACTGGGCAAATTTGATTTTTTTGTTTCCTTTTGGTCAAATATTGCTAACACTACTGTACTGAAAATTGTGCTTTTTACTTACAATGTATTTTTCCAAGTAGAAAATTTACCAAGGAACATTTCAATATCAAATCTTTAACTATTTTCTAAGTGTTTTACATAAAAAATGCCATGATGTTCAAGAATGGTGATCTCACTATGTCCCTTGTAGATGACAATACAAGATAGGCCATGAAATTCTACCATACATATCTGAAGTTAGTACATAAATGAAGAATTAGAGCTCTAGGAAGCCTTAAACCTAGAAACGATTTGATTTTATAAAGCCATAAGAAATGAGGAACTCTTTCTTTGTATATGGTTCTATGGTAGATCTATCTTAATATTATTTTTGTATATTCTATTAGACAAAAGTATTTTTGATGTGCTTTTTTGTGATGAAGTAAAACAAATGAAGAGGACTTAGGTACACAAGACAATCTTAGAGAGTCTCACGAAAAAGGATCCTAAAGTATATAGTCTCTAAAACACTGCACAAATTATACTATTAACACCAAATAAGAATTCTACTTTTACCATTTACAAAAGACAAGTCACTGGTTTTCAAAGCTTTTATTCACATTATATTAAGTGTGGACTTTCAGGGGTGATTTGTATGTGGTTATTTCCAAGTAGAGAATTTGGATTTGGTGCATTTAAAATGCTACCGTGTGTTTAGAAAGTACTTCCCTGGGGGAAGGGGAGTCATTTTCTTACCTCAACTACCTTTTCATTTGCCATTTCCAGCTGAGAAAGTAGCTCTTGTGTATGAAATTTCTGTCGATTCAGCTCACTCCTATTAAACAAGAAGGGGCAGGAAGAATATGAGAACTGATTAAAACACAAAATTAAAAAAGAAAAAGTTTAGAAGTATATGCAAATATAAAATACACTTGAAACTTAAGTTTAAAACAGGAATAAAACTTAAGAATAAAACATTATGAAACTAAATTTTTACTAGTAGACATGTTTATATTCTGAACAATTTTTTTTTTCCCCGAGACAGGGTTTCTCTGTGTAGCTTTGGAGCCTATCCTGGTACTCGCTCTGGAGACCAGGCTGGCCTTGAATTCACAGAGATCTGCCTGCCTTTGCCTCCCGAGTGCTGGGATGAAAGGCATGTGCCACCAACACCTGGCTTTTGAACAAAAGTTTTTAAATAGCAAACAAATCCATTTTATTTTTAATAAAATGTGGTGGTTTGAATGAGAATACCCTCCATAAGCTCATGTTTGAATAACTGGTTCCCAGCTGTTTGGAAGGGATTAGGAAGCATGAACTTGTTGAAGGCCATGTGTCTGTCACTGGTGTTTGGCTTTGATGTTTAAAAACTCACACTATTCCCAGGGTGTTCTCTCATAATGTCCTACTTGCAGATCAAGATACAAGCTCTCTGCTATTACTGCTGCCATGTTTTCACTCTGTTATCATGAACTGTAACTTTCTGAAACCATAGCAAAAAAGAAACACTTCCTTTATACACTGCCTGGGTCATGGTGTTTTGTCACAGCAATAAAAGAGTAACTAATGTATAAAATATACATATATTCTAGGGTAGTTACACTGTGAGGATATTTAAGACTACTGAACCCAGGAAAATGGTTCAGAAGGTAAATGTAATGATGTATATTTTGTTACAATTAAAAAGTATACCACAGACAGACAGGTTTAGTGGCACACATCTTTAGTCCTAGCACTCAAGAGGCAGAGGCATGTGGATCTTAGTGAGTTTGAGGCCAGTCAGGTCTACATAGCAAATTCCAGGCTAGCTGGAGCTACATTGTGATACCATGTCTTAAAACACACACACACACACACACACACACACACACACCCACCCACCTACCCACCATGGGCTTGAAAGATAGCTCAGCAGCTGTTCTTCCATAAGACCTGGGTTAAGTTCCCAGCATCCACATAAGGCAGCTCACACCTGCCTGTAACTCCAGTTCCAGGGGCTGCAATGCCCTCCTTTTGTCTCTGTGGGTGTGGGCAATGCATACACATGGTGGACATAGAGAAAGGCAGGCACAAATATATACAATTAAAAATTCAAAAAAATTGTATCATGCTGATTGTGGTGATAGATGCATGTAATGCTGAACATTAAAGGTTAAGGCACAAGATAAAAAATGTGAGGCCAACCTAGGCCTACAAAAGGAAACCTTGGCTTAGAAATAGACAATTAAAGAAACAATCAGGTCACAATTTAAAAAAAAATTCACAACTTACATTTTGGTAAGTTTATATATATATATATTATATATATATATATATATAATATATATATATATTATATATATTGTTGAGTCTGGGTTACAGAGTGACACAGTCTCAAAAAGCAAAACAAATCAACCAAGGTTCATGTATAGTGTCTCATGGCAGAATTCAAAGCTTGCAAATTATTAAATATTCAAATGCCATTTTGATGTAGTAAATTGTGTTGTGTCTATGCATGTCTGGTATCTCTTTGTCACTATTTATTATGCTTCGTAAGCTGAAGTTATCTGACGCACAGAATTGAGGTTGCCTCCTCTCTTCCTCCTTTGAGACAGGCTCTCACTATGCTTCTTGGTTGGCTTGGAACTCAAACTAGGCTGGCCTCAAATGTAGAGATCTGCTTGCTCTATCTCCTGAGTGCTGGGATTAAGGATGTGTGTCACTCTGTCTGGAATCATCTTTTTAATTTAAACACACAAGCATGTAGGGGAAGCTGTAGCCACGCTTACTTAGGGGCTGGCTACAGGTGTGCCTGACTACGCTTGCGAGGGTGTGGTCAGGGTGACGTAGAGAGGGACTTTCAGGGGACTGCGTTTCTCTTTCAGGTTCACATTTGTACTTGCTGGACAGACTGCTGCCACGCCGGCTGGCTAGGTTGCTCTGTTAGTAAGGCTTTTCCCTATTAAATACCCTTGTATTTCTACCTGACTCCGTATTTGTAATTTTCCACTATATCTGGTTGTCAGGAGCAGGATATTGGAAACCTACACCCCATTTGGGACAGGCTGTGGGTTCCACCGGGCCTGTGGCCTAGGCCGGGGGGGGCGGGGGGGGGGGGGGGGGGGAAAGCGCGCTCTCTCCACAGGTGCTCCCGGGCTCCCAGCCAACCGGCTGCCCCAACACAAGCATGTTCCTGGCGGCAGGTGAGCTGCTCAGAACAGTCTGCCCAGCTTGGAGACAGTTTCTAGCTGTCTAGAGGTGAGTAGGCCTAGGCTTCCCCTGGTCACTGCTGCGGTAAAGTTGCATGTCTTTCAGTGGTTGCAGCCGCAAGGCCGTATACTCTCTAAGATAAGCACAGCCGCTTTTGTGACCTCTCTCCACCGCTACCACTATCCTGCCATCGACTGCTGCCAAACGCCATGGACTAACCGAACACCTGTGCCACCCACTGGTCAAAGATAGTTACTGCATCTGGAGTAGAAATCAGGTAAAATTATGGCAGAATATTTATCATTTGCTAAAATTGGTAATATTTTTGCTTATTACGTGAATTCACTGTTTGAGGAGGATGCTAATCTGCCAATTACCAGCCTATATACTGTAATGGCAGGTAGATTGCTGGTACAAATAATATTACTAGCCAGAGGACTCAGGAATAGGGATAAGGATAACCTCACCACCTACTTACAGGAAATAACAGCTTTACGCAGTGAGGTTTTGGAAAACAGATTTGGTCAGACCACAATTGTGCAACAAGTGGAACAGAAATTGTATGATAAGCTTGGTTCTGTGTCCAATACGCTAAAGACAGAGCTGTCTGTTACCCAAGATGAGATGCAGTGTATTTATGATAAGATAAATGAGGCTTTAGAGGCTAGGCTGTCAGAAGACCATGTTGAGCTAAGGAATATCTGTAGCCAGCTAGAAACTCAAATAGGTAATGTTGACCAGCAACTAGTTGCAACGGTGCAAAATACCCAGGATAGGGTTGAAGAATTGGACAATGCCATTCAATCAGTTATTGAAGTATCCAAGGTAGCAGATCAGAAATCTGAGTCTAGATTTGAATGTTTGGAAGATTATTTACAATACGGGGCTGACAGATTACATAGGTCCATACGGTCGATTGCTGAGGACTCAAAATCAGCAAATCATGACCTTGAATGTAGACTCCAATACATAGAAAGAAGTTTACATGCCATCCAGATGCTCCCTAAGGATGATCAAATTAAAGACGTAGAAAAACATGTAAATGAGAAGTTAGAGCAATTTACAGATTCACTAACATGCTTGGGATCTTTTATGATGAAGGAGATGGAAACTTTTCAAAAGGATATCATTACTAGGCTTAAAGATCATTGGGATGCCTCAGAGGCAGAACCACTCCAATCCAATGAACCTACTCTACCCAGGTATCACGACTATTCTTCTAAGATTGTTACTTGTACACCATTAGTGTACCCAGCTACCATGGTAGAAAAGCCAGCTTTTAAGAAACACACTCATGAATGGTTGGCTTATGAATGGCAAACTATACAGCTGAAGGATTTTAAGAATATTAAAGATTCAGTTGTCTCATATTGTCTCCATAGCCCATACGTAAAACAGCATTTTTTAATTTTTATTTTACATTCATGTGCAACCTTTACCAGGGTGACACCCACAGATTGGGAACGATTGGTTACAGCTGTACTTGAGAATTCATGCCAAATCCAGTGGAAGGCATTAGTAAGGGAAGAGGCAAAGCTCCTTGAGCGTCAGGGCATAAAGGAAGGTTTTGAAGCCCCTCTAGATAAGCTTCTTGGTCAGGGTATTTATGCTGACCCACAGGTTAAGGGTGAATATGATGACGATATACTGTCTTTAAGCAGGAAAGCAGCATTAGATGCTTGGGATAAGGTTTGTGAGCCAGGAAAACGCCTAGAAGCTTATACCAGAATAGAACCCGGACCTACAGAACAGTTCCAGGACTTCTTACAAAGGTTAACTAGGGCAGTAGAATTACGGGTAACAGATCC